ATATAGAATAAACAACAAGATCCTACTGTATAGCACAGGGAACTCTACACAATATCCTATAATAAACAGTAATAGAAAAGAATATGAAAAATAATATACATATATTATATATATCATATAGATATGAACAACTGAATCATTTTGCTCTATACCAGAAACTAACACAACATCGAAAATCAACTGTATTTCAATAAAATAAATTTTTAAAAAAACAGGATTTATATTTAGTGTTCTTTACCTAAATGAACCACGTTATGCTGCCTGTGGTTGGAATGATGGTTTCACTCTATCAAATTCTCAGCAACTCAGGCTCCTTTTAGCACAGGTGGGTATGAGCTTCATCTTCAAGTTTGCAACTGTGCATGCTCAATCCAGTCACTAGAAAAGATTAAAAAGGAAAGAATGAAATAGAGCATAGTGTTCATGACAGTACTTCATTCAGGGAAAAAATAAGTTAAAAAAATTCTCTGAATTTGTCACATGATACTTCACCTGACATATCATCAGTGAGAATATAATCACACTGACATATACAAATGAAAGACCTGCAAGAATATATTAATAGATAGATAGATAGACAGGTAGATTGATATATATATATATATATATATTTCTAAATGGGTATATGTCTAACCATGAAGTCAGTTATTGTAGAAGAAGAGGAAGACCTATGTTGAAGGAAAGGCAGAGGGAACTGCAAACTTCATGAACCGCTAGAGAACAACATTAGAAATGGGAGATTATCTATCTACTTATTGTACCTATCTATCAATCAATCTATCAATCAGTCGATTGCAGAAAGCAAACAAAAGGGATGGGGTTAATTTTCTTAAGGGCATATGTATGAAACTCGGGTAGCATTTTTTAAATGAGGGTACAATCCTTATTGAACACATTACCCATTTCCATTATCTCAAATAAGTTCAACTCTTAAAAGTCTATCATTTGAGCTTTTTTTTTTTCCTTTCATGCACTGTATTTACAGATGCATGGCAAAAGCCAAAATAAGTTCATACAACTCAGGTATCAACCTTAAAGGTCTTAGATGAGGGCAGAAAAAGACATCTAATTCAATATTCTGAAATCTGTGTTTGTTTTGAGGTGAAACCTCACAAGCACTATATATGATGACTCAATAAAAACACACACACATGCATACATATTTAACTGAATAAAAAGTTGCATTAAGTAATATTTGCCTTTACCAGGATAGATACATGCTTTTATTTTTCCTTTCCTTTCCTCTTCATCTCTTTCTTTTCACTTTTTTTATTTCCTTTCCATCATTTCCCCTTTCTTTACTTGTCTAGTAAATTTATTCCATTAAAATGGTAAACATATAGACCAATGGAATAAAGCAGTCCAGAAATATATGATATATATAGCCACATATATGATCAATTCATTTTCTGCAATAGGGCAAAGGTAATTCAAAGGAGAAATGATAGTCTTTTCAACAAGTGGTGCTGGGAGAAATGAATATTCATAAGCCAAATGAATGAATCACAATCCATATATCACACCGTATACAAAAATTAACTCCAAGTGGATCATACACCTAAACATAAAACCTGAAACTATATAACTTCCTGAAGAAATCATACATAGGAGAAAATCTTTTTAACCTTGAGTTGAACAAAGACTTCTATGATATAGTACAAAAGAGAGGTGTGCAAAAGAAAAACTAATACACTGAACTTCAGTAAAATTAAGAGGAGCTGCTCTTCAAAAGACTGTTAAGATAATTAAAACAGGCCACACACCAGGAGAAAATCTTTGCAAATTATCTATCTAATAAAGGACTTGTATCTAGTATATCAAGACCTGTGAAAACACAACAATAAGAAAATATAACACATTTTTTTAAATGAGCAAAATATATGAACAAAAACCTTAGCAAAGCAGACATGTGAATGACAAACAGGGATATGAAAAAGGGTTCCACATCATTAGTCATTAGAGAATGCAAATTAAAATCAGAATAAGCCACCTCCACACATCTATCAGAATGACTAAAATAAAATGATAAAAAAAAAATAAACTGGTAATTCCAAATGATGGTAAAAATGCAGAGCAATAGGAACTCTCAAATTTCCCTGATTGGAACACAGACACAGTATCTATCCATGCAAAAGACTGGAAACAATTCAAGTGTTCCTTAAGCATAGAATGGATAAACCAACCACGGTCCATCTGTACGATGGAATACTAGTCAGCGGTAAAATAGAACAAACTATTCATAGGTAAGACAATGTTGAGGATTCCCAAAGCAGTAGGCTAAGTGAAAGAAACCAGACATAAAAGATTACTGACAGTATGATTCTGTATAGTATCATTTATATGACATTGTTGCAAAAGTAGAACCATGGGGAGAGAAAATAGTTCAATGGTTTGCAGGGACTGGAGACGGGTGAAGAGTTGACGACAAATGCAGTTGTAAGAATCTGGTAGGTGAGCTAGTATCTTCATTGTGCTGGTGGTCACACAGCTATTTGCATTAGTCAGTATCACATGGCGTACTAGCTAGAAAGGGTGTATTTTACTGGATTAGATATTACACACACACACACACACACAAAGCCAAAATACCTGTGATGGTTAATTTTATGTATCAACTTGCCTGGGCTAAGGGATGCCTAGATGGCTGGTAAAACATTGTTTCAGGGGATATCTGTGAGGGGACTTCCAGAAGTATTTGAATCAAAATTCAAAGGTCCATCCATATTGGTGCAAATGACAGAATTTATTTCATTATGTGGCTTAATAATATTCCACTATATGTGTACATATATATATATATATTTATATATATTCTTTATTCATCCACTAAAACAAGACTGGGAGCTGACTGTGGCTCAGATCATGAACACCTTATTGCCAAGTTTAGACTTAAATTGAAGAATGTAGTGAAAACCACTAGACCATTAAGGTATGAGCTAAATCAAATCCCTTATGATTATAGCGTAGAAGTGACAAATAGATTCAAGGGATTAGATCTGATAGACAGAGTGCCTGAAGAACTATGGATGGAGGTTCATGACATTGTACAGGAGGTGGTTATCAAAATCACCCCCAAGAAAAAGAAATGCAAAAAAACAAAATGACTGTCTGAGGAGGACTTACAAATAGTTGAGAAAAAAAGAGAAATGAAAGCAAAGAAGAAAAGGAAAGATATACCCATATGAATGCAGAGTTTCAAAGAATAGCAAGGAGAGATAAGAAAGCATATCTAAGTGATCAGTGCAAAGAAATAGAGGAAAACAATAGAATGGGAAAGACTAGAGATCTCTTCAANAGTACATTCATGCAAAATGCCAGGCTGGATGAAGCACAAGCTAGAATCAAGATTGCCAGGAGAAATATCAATAACCTCAGATACGCAGATGGCACCACCTTTATGGCAGAAAGCAAAGAAGAACTAAGGAGCCTCTTGATGAAAGTGAAAGAGAGGAGTGAAATAGGAGGCTTAAAACTCAACATTCAGAAAACAAAGATCATGGCATCCGATCCCATCACTTCATGGGGAAACAGTGTAAACAGTGGCTGACTTTATTTTTGGGGGCTCCAAAATCACTGCAGATGGTGACTGAAGCCATGAAATTAAAAGACAGTTGCTCCTTGGAAGAAAAGCTATGACCAATCCAGACAGCATATTAAAAAGCAGAGACGTTACTGTACCAACAAACGTCTGTCTAGTGAAAGCTATGGCTTTTCCAGTAGTCATGTATGGATGTGAGAGTTGGACCATAAAGAAAGCTGAGCATGGAAAAATTGATGCTTTTGAACTGTGGTGTTGGAGAAGACTCTTGAGAGTCCCTTGGACTAGATGGGGATTCAACCAGTCAATCCTAAATGGAATCAGTTCTGAATATTCATTGGAAGAACTGATGCTGAAGCTGAAACTCCAATACTTTGGCCACCTGATGCGAAGAATTGACTCAATGGAAAAACCCTGATGCTGGGAAAGATTGAAGGCAGGAGGAGAAGGTGATGACAGAGGATGAGATGGTGGGGTGGCATCACTGACTCGATGGACATGAGTTTGAGCAAGGTCTGAGAGCTGGTGATGGACAAGGAAGCCTGGTGTGCTGCAGTAGATGGCGTCACAAAGAGTTGGACAGGACTGAACGACTGTACTGAACTGAACTGAGCTGACCGGCCCTGAGCTGTTGCCATATGCTCGCTGCTATGAATAATGTCGCAGTAAACATGGGACTGCATGTATCTTTAATATCCTATTTTCGTGTCCTTCTATTACTCAGGATTAGAATTGCTGGATCACATGGACATTCAGTTTTTAATTTTTGGAGAAACCTCGATGTTTTTGTTTTCCATAAGGACTGAATGAATTTACATTTCCAGGAAGAGAGAGCAATTGCCTGAGGCTGTTCTTCAGGGGAGATTTCAGGAACAGGGAGCAACAGTCTCCCAAGACAGCTCCTAGGCTTCCCTGCATGGCGCAGAGGAACAGACAAGCCAGGTGCGATGGCACGGCTGCTCGGGTTGTTGCAGCCTCGGACCTGGCAGACATTAGATGGGGCTCCAGGCCCGCAGCAGAGCCTGGGTTCCGGCCCCGGCCCTCTGGCCTCCCAGAAGTCGACAGACTTGCAGCCTAAGCACTAGCAGCTAACTCTCCCCCTCGGGCCTCGGGAGGTCCTGCCTCTCTGCACTGGTCCTCCGATGCTGGGGGAGCAGCTGGGTCAAGCGGGTCACTACACAGTCTCGCTGGGGATGGCAGGGGGGGAGGCAGCCCCACAAGTGGTGGACGCTTGGCAGGTGGCGTGAGCCAAACTCCTTGCTGAGGGAGGCTCCCACGTGTTTCTTCTTCTAGGATTCTAAAAACTGCCGGAATCCTGTGAGTCTTGGCTTCCTCCGGGAAGTGGGTTTATGGGAGGAGCCTTTCGGGCCTGATTCTGCCGCTCTCTGGGCTACCCGGGTGCTCAGCGCATCCCAGCCCAGGGAGTATCTCTTCCTGCCCTTCCTGTGGTCTTGTACTTACCGTACCCCTGCATCGGCCCACAGACCTGAAGCCACAAAATACAGCCTGGAGGCTCCAGCCTGCAGACTCCACTTTCCTTCTGGCAAACCCCAGGTACTATCGCCAGTGGTTTAGAACACACTTAGTTAAATTCCAGCCAGAGCATCCCTGGTGGCTTAATGGTAAAGAATCGTCCCACCAATGCAGAAGACACCGGTTTGATCCCTGGTCCTGGAAAATCCCACATGACTCAGAGCGACTAAGCTGGCGAGTCACAATTATGAAGACTGTGCTCTAGAGCCTGGGAACTGCAACCACTGAGCCCACCGGTGGCAACTACTGAAGCCTGGATGCCCTGAAGCCATTTGCTCGGCGAGAAGAGAAGCCACTGCAAAGAGAA